ACAGCACGCAGGGGCTCGCCTGGTTTATCTGGGGAATGAACAGGCCTCTTGGGAGATGCCCGGTTCTATTCCTTAATGCACCCAAAGCACAGTCAGCTAGGAGCAGGGCCGCTGCCATCAGCCCAAATCCTTCCCCCCTACAGCTGCGGAGCAGCAGGAAAAGGGGAACAGGAGTGCAGGGCACCTCGTTGCCAAAGTCAGGCTAAAAACAGCGCAGGCACACTGGAACGCTCACAGGGGGTTGGCTCCAGGTCACTGCTGCTGGCTGAGGGATGGAGGAGTGCGTGCTTCCCAGGGAGCGTGCCTGGCTGACTCATGGATTTGCCTGTGCTTTATCCCTGTGGAGGTGTTCCTGCCTAGGACAGAGCTCCAAGGATGACGAGCAGGAGCCCTGGGAAGCGGGCACAGCCTGGAGCATCCTCTTCCCCATCCTCTTCCCCATCTCCCATCCCCTGCCCCAAGCACCGGGAGGGTTTTCCGTGTCCCTGGCATAGCCCCTGCCAGCAGCTGAGCACCGGCACCAGGCAAGGAGGTGGTGTGAGCTGGGCATAGCTCCAGGGTGAGGAGGAGAGTGAAGGGGACTCTAATAGGAACCAGCTGAGGACCAGAGCACGGCTTCAATCCCCTCCCGAGCAGCTCTTTCAAGAGCAGCAACGGGAAACCAAACTGGAGGGATTCCCCCCAGCTCCTAAGGGATTTTTTTGCCCTTTCCCTTTAATTAAAAGCACCCGCACGCACACACAAGCTGCTGTTGAACACTGACCCCCTCTGATGCCCGGAGACAGCCTGGATACCAGAGCTGGGTCCTTCCCAAGCAACCATTGCCACTGAGGTCTGTGCTCGGGGCCGCACAGAGCCCCATTTCCTGCCCCTACAACTCCGCTCTGAGGACCTCCAGCTCCCAGCTTCCTGCCCATTGCCGTCTGCCCTTTCATATGTGTTTTCCTGCAGCCTCTTGTGTTTAATTACACGGGGCTATTAATGGGTTTTTAATGACACTCCAAGCACTCTGGAGGACACGCACACACACGTGTGTGTGTTTATGTGCACCCACCTCCACAATCCCATTGCCAGAGCGTGGTGAGAGCACAGGCACCACCAGCCTTGTGTTCCCACCCCTGGGCAGAGATGAAGAGGGGGAAAGGGATTCCCATGTCAGGCAGCTGCAAGCCCCTCTCCCAATCCCTGCCAGCTTTGGACAGCCAAACCCTGTCCCATGCAAGGAGCCCGGCGCTGAATCCCAGCTCCAAATCCCAGCTCCCATCCGGATCCATGCTCAAGCCCACATAACCTGGCAAAGGTGCAAGCCAAGAAGTAACCCAAGCACAACCTGCTACTCCTGCGGGCAGCGCTGGGTGCAGGTAGGGGTGCAGCACCTGCAGGTGAATGTGGAGGGACCAGCGATGCAGCCCCCCAGCCTTCACCCACCTATGTCCCCCTATGGGGACACACTTGCACTCAGTGACTGCTGAGGGGGTCCCCAAAACCTGCCGGGGGGGTGCAGGTCGGTGGCATCGCACCTCTGCACATCCAAGAGTGGAGGGGAGAACTGGGGATGTGGGACAGGACGTTGCACCCCCCTAGGCGCCTCCTATAGCCCCCCACGCTGGGTTCTACACCCACCCTCATGTGCACATCGTACCCCCCCCCCCCCATAGCACCCCGCGGGGAGCCCCACAACCGCCCTCGGGTGGACCCTGCACCCCCCACTGGATGACCCCCGGGATGGGGAGGCTGGAGCGGGGGTCTCCGCGCTGCCCGTTCCTTCCCCCCCCCCCCCGGGATTTACCTTGGTCTTCACCCTGCCCGGCTCCCAGCCGGGTCTGAGCTCCCGGACCAGCCGCAGAGCCCCGGGCACGACGTCGCCCTCGTCCACCGCGATGCCGAGGTGGGGCACGGCCGGAGCCCCCCCGTTGCCGCCGCCCCGCTCCGGTCCCAGGCAGTCGGGGCAGCGGCCGGGCGGCTCGGCCATACCCAGCTCCCCGCTCCCGGAGCCGCGGCCCATGTGCCGGGGGCTGCGGCGGGGCCGGCGGCCGCGGGGAGGAGCCGCTCGCCGTTGGGAAGCCATGAGTCACCGGCCCGCCCCCCGCGGCAGCGCCCGCCCGCATTGTGAGGTCAGCGGGACCCGCACCGGCATCCCCGCACCGGGATCCTGCTCCTTGGAAACCCGCACCGGGATCCGCAACCGGGAACACGCACCCTGGAATCCGCACCCGGAGATCCGCACCGGGATCCGCACCCGGAGATCCGCACCGGGATCCGCACCCGGAGAGACGCACCGGGATCCTGTAGCCGGGAAACCCGCACCGGGATCCGCACCCCGGAATCCGCACCCCAGGATCCGCACCGGGATCCGCAACCGGGAACCCGCACCCTGGAATCCGCACCCCGGAATCCGCACCCCAGGATCCGCACTGGGATCCGCACCCGGAGATACGCACCGGGATCCTGTAGCCGGGAAACCCGCACCGGGATCCGCACCCCGGAATCCGCACCCCAGGATCCGCACCGGGATCCTGTAGCCGGGAAGCCCGCACCGGGATCCGCAACCGGGAACCCGCACCCTGGAATCCGCACCCCGGAATCCGCACCCCAGGATCCGCACTGGGATCCGCACCCGGGATCCGCACCAGGGAACCCGCATTCCAGGATCTGCACCCGGGATCCACACTGGAACCCGCACCCAGGACCCCCGCCTGGATGCTTCCCCCTCCCCACATCATCCTCGGAGCCATCCCGGGGGGCTCCACACAGCCCCACATCCCTTCGGGGTCTAGGATAAAGGGATGGAGATGCTGCACCAGGGATGCGCTCCCGGAGAGCTGCGTAGCCCCTGGACCAGCCACTCCGGTGCCTCTGAGTGTCACCCACCGAGCACTGAACCCCCCGGGGAATTAGAAATGGGCTGGGGAGGGGAAGATCTTTAATTACGGATGGAGCACGATCCCTCTCCCCACGCTGACCCCACTCCCACCAGGCTTTATTATCAGAGGAAATAACAACCACACGTAGCTGGAACAGTGAAATGTCACAGCTGAAACCAGCTAAATGGATCCTGGAGACGTGGGGAAAATCATTTAAGGGAGGGGGGGACTAAAATGAACCTGGCCAATTCCCCATGGTTTTGAATACAGAGCGAGCGCTGTCAGCTTGGGTCGGATGGGCATTAATTGCTCCCAGCGCTTGGCTGAGCCTGGCCTAATTGCTCGCCCATAATCAAGACCCGAGTTAATGCGAGGGGCGGTTGCGGGTTTGGGTTTGCAGCCGCAAGGAAATTGCCTGGCAGGCGATGAGAGGTGTTAATGGCCTGGCTTAAGGGGCCCCGGAGCAGCACTGCCAGCAGCCCAGGCTGATTTCCCTCCCACTGCTTGAAAACAACCGGGCTGAACAGGAACAGACCTGGAACCACCAATAAAAGCCCTATTTTAGGCCAACCGGACCATCTTCTGTTATAGGCAGAAGCCATCATGGGGCCTTAAGTCACTTGTTTCAGGTTCACATCCATCCGAGTCTCCTCCAGACCAGAGCCTTTGCGGTGTAGGATAGGACACAGGAGGCTTAAGTTAATTCCAAGTGGAGTTTCCCTGGATGCTGGCAGGAGCATCCCAAACATCCCTGTGAGAGGCAGCTGGTGTCAGCCTGTGCTTGGGGCAGTGCAGGGAATTCATCAGCAGTCAGTGCTGGCTGCAGAAAACAAGGATGAAATGATCCTGCAAGATCAGTGCCTTGCTCCAGGCTCTGCTCCAGGAAGTGCTGTGCTCTGCTGTACCAGCACGTTTCCCAGCACAGGGCTTGGATGTGGACCACAGCACCTGAGCTGGTCAACCTGGAGATGACCAAATCTTGTTTTAGGTCTGCAGCCCTCACTACAAGAGAGACATCGAAAGGGCACCAGAGCTGGTGCAGGGCCTGGAGCACAAGTGTGATGGGGAACGGCTGAGGGATCTGGGGAGGTCAGTCTGGAGAAGAGAAGGCTCAGGGGGGACCTGATCGCTGCCTACAAGTGCCTGAGAGGAGGATGGAGCCAGGAGGGGCTGGGCTCTGCTCCCAAGGAACAAGGGATGGGACAAGAGGAAACGGTCTCAAGCTGCACCAGGGCAGGTTTAGATGGAGCTGAGGAACAATTCCTGCCCCAAAGGTGCCCCAAGTAGGGCAGTGGTGGAGTCACCGTCCCTGCAAGTGCTCACACACAGTGGGGACAAGGCCCTCAGTGCCATGGGTTAGTGGTGGCCTTGGCAGTGCTGGGAACGGGTGGACTGGATGAGCTGAAAGAGCTTTTCCAGCCTCTTGGGTTCAGTTCAGTGAGTGCTGCAGAGTGCTTGGCACTGGGGAGCTGGAAGCACCGCAGCTCTCCCGTGGAACTGGAAATGTCAGCCCCCAGCCGGGAGCGCTGCTCTGCCCTTCCAGCTGGCACGGGGCTGGCAGCACCAGCGTGCTCCCGCTGAGCATCGCTGCACCCGGCCAGGACACAGACAAGCCTCTGGTTGTGAGCTGGAGCCAACGGGCAGGAAAACAGAGCCAGGAGCTGGGATAGACTCAGCCACTCCCCATCGGACCCACAGGGACCTTCCCCTCTCCATGCTCCTGACCTCCCCTAGGAAAGCCTGGCGAAGCCTGGGTATCCCATCTTCTGCAGAAAGACTGCGTTCATTGTTTGAAAAGACCCTGATTTCGTTGAATCCCAGCCTGGTTTGGGTTGAAGGGACCTTAAAGCTCCTCCAGCTCCAACCCCTGCCACGGGCAGGGACCCCTTCCACTGGAGCAGCTTGCTCCAAGCCCCTGTGTCCAACCTGGCCTTGAACACTGCCAAGGATGGGGCAGCCACAGCTTCTCTGGGCACCCTGTGCCAGCGCCTCAGCACCCTCACAGGGAAGAGCTTCTGCCTAAGAGCTCAGAGGATATAAATGCAGTGATGGATCCTAGCAGGGGAACACTTGTCCTGTTCTCGTACTGCATGTGTCTGACTCCTCCCCTCTGCAAGTGTAAGCATCCACTCAGCATCCTTTTGCTCTAAGATTGTTTAATACTAAAGTCATGGCGAGGGGCCAGGTTAACACCAGCTAAAACTCTCATTAAGCACCCAGGTTATCTTTCTCCCATATAAAGAACAACATGAGCAGTAACCACTCATCCCTCCTCAGTCTGCAGCCTGCAAGCATCTCCATGCCAGCAGCAGCTCCCTGTGTGCCACTTGTACTATTGCACATCAGCCTGGGAATCCCTGGAGGTGCAGCTCTGGCCTCAACATCCTGCTTTGATTCCCAGACACTTTTGGATGTGTTTAAGGCTCCGTTCTTCCCATTAGCAGAGATTCTTGGGAAGCAGAGCAGGGATTTAGGAGCAGGAGAAGGGGAGGTTGTGCTGTCGCTTCAATAAAGAGAGGAAACCCGGTTTGCACTTCAAATCCTTTCTTCCCAGTGGTGATGCTCTCGCCTCCGCGTTGGTCCCGGTCCCTCTCCCCAGCCCTGCCCATCAGCGAGCTGTGGCAAAGCCGATGCGGTTGTAGCGCCGGTCAAACTTGGTGTAATAGTGCCCAATGAAGCTGGCGCCCAGGATCCAGATGGGACCAGCCGGGGGTGGGATGTCCAGTCCTGAGAAAGCCACCACGCAGATGTCCTCCCCATACTGGGATTGCTGCAAAGAGGAGACGCACGCAGTGATGGAGGCTCTGTGGTCTCCAGCTCAACCGCCTCTGCCTGGCTTCGATATTCCTTCCTCCAGGAAGGAGAATCCCTGCCTGTGTCACCCCAGCTCTCCCTGAAACCACCCAAGGAAGCAGCAACAAGTTGGTTTGGGGGAAAGCAAGCAGCATTGTCCTGGGGTTCATCTTGAGGGGAGCCAGGAGAGTGCAGCTCTGATACACACAGAGGGATGCAGCTTACCCGAAGGATGTAGGCTGAGCCGCTGAGCCCAAAGGCCTTCCCACCCAGGTGGAAGGAGATGTTGGGCAGCTGAGGGACTTGGTCACAATCCACCACGTACTGCAGGAGGAGGAGACAGTGCCGAGCTCATGTGATGGGATTGGGATGGGCTGGGGTACAGGCAGCCGAGGGTACAGGCAATGGGGTATGGAGTGGGGTGTTAGGGGGATACTCACTCCTCCTTCAGCCATTTCTGCTGCCCCGATGGCTTTCATCAGCACAGAGATGGGGCCAGCAGGGCCAGTGATGTAGGATGCTCCTGTGTCAACAGCAGCTGAGCAGCCATCCTTGCAGAACAGCATTTCAGCCCCCACAGACACCCTGGAGCAGGAAAGGGGAGAGGAGCAACCATGAGCTTCCCATGGTGACCACAGCTTGGTTGCCAGGACTATGGGTGAATGCGCCCCATCTTTGTCCAGGGAATGCTGGCAGGCAGAGCACACGCTGCTCCCAAAGCACAGCCTCCAGGGGCATTGGGAACCCTCCCCTCGAGCTTCTCAGATGTGGAAGCTCAGCTTTATCACGAGTGGCTTTCATTTGGTTGGATTCAACAAAGCAGAATTGTTTCAGTGCCTCACACTCCTCCTGCAGGACTAACCGGGGTTAAACTCTCCCACTGCAGCTTCCAAGCGGGATCAGCCCACGGTGCCACCCCCTCTGCATTCCCCAGCTCCTGGCTGAGCACTGAGGTGCAACTGGGTGCTGGAGGAACCAACCCCGCTCCCCTCCAGAAGGAAAAACATCCACTAGGAAAACACATCCCCATGGACCACCTTCCCCAGCATCCGGGAGGCCTTTTCCAGCCCATGCAGGGATTGCAGGATGAGGCCCGGTGCTGAGCAAAGGCATTCCGTGTGCTCACCCCTTCATGCTGATCTGCCAGTAGCCGCTCTTGCTGACGTTCAGGTAGTGGAAGTCCCCAGTGTAGTAGGCTGGGTCGCTGCCTCCGAGGATGATTTCGCCTCCGGGTTTCAGGGCAGCATTCCTAGGATGCAAAGTGCAGCGGAGTGATTCCCCTTGGCTGCTGCTCCCCAAAACACAGGGAGAAGGGACCAGCCTGACCCGGAGAGCAGCGGTGAGAGCAAGCTGGAGCGGAAGGAGCCCCGAGTTAGTTCATAGGGGTGCGAGGGGAGGGGGTGCCACATGCTGAGGTCTCGGAGCAGGTCAGAGCTGGCTCCTGCAGTGTGCAAGCTCCTACAGGCCCTTGGGATCAGCAGGAATGGGATCTGCTGCCCGGTGACTGTTAGTGGGTGCTGTCCCAAGAGTGCTCATGCTTTCCATCTTCTTACTTTGAAGCTCTGCAAAGAGAGGGATGCTCCATAAGCTTGTGATCCGAGAGTGGCTGCATCACTGGGGTGCAGCACCCAGACAAGGCTGCAGTTGCAGCCAGCATCATTAGGCTTTGTTTGCTATTGATGGATCCACCTTTAGTAGAGGTAAAGAGCTACTGAGCCTGCTCTAAGCATGGGGTTGTGGGTCTGGTTGTCACTGGTACCCATGCCAGGACCTGCCCTCACACTGCTCCTTGGGGGGGGGGGGATGCTGGGGCAGAACAGTTTGGGGCAAGAAGTGAAAGGTTTGGTTGCTGATGCAGGTGTTTCTGCAGCAGATTTGGGGGGTTTATCATTCTTCCTAAAGGTGAGACACGAAATCCATCCTGGCAGTTATTGCTCCAGCTCCTCCAGCAGGGCTGGTGACATTGAATCCGACAGTGACAAATGAGCATGGAGCAGCTGCTCCCAGCCCTGGCAGCTCCAGAGAAGCATCCACATGGATCTGCCTCTTGTGCTGCCTCATTCCAGCCCAGCTCCTGGAGGTACCCTCCCTGTGCTCATGTCCTCCATCCCACCCCAGCTCCTGCAGCCCCAGCCATAGCCTTATCCCAGTCCCAAGATGCAAACCCGTGGTTGCAATGCCCATGCCCTGCAAAATCCCACTCCCCCCTGCTCCCCACAAGACCCACCGGCTGTAGTAGACTGAGAACACGTCCTCCTTGAGGATCTGCTGGGAAAGGATCCGGTCGAAGACAGGGGTGATACCATCGATGGCCTGGCTGGGGTAGCCCATCCCCAGCACCCCATCGAACCTGGCGAAGATGAAGGGGAAGGCAGGCAGCACCGTGGCCTCAGCAAAGACCTGGATGATGGGGATGTCTGATACCTGGGAAGGGCAGGATTGTTCTTGTGGCAGCACAGGGGTTTAATACCCCAAAGAGCCTCCTTACTCTTGGGTAATTGAGGATGCTTATATAGGGGAGCAGAGCCACACGTGGGCATCTCCTTGCTGAGGGGCCACGCTCACCATGACAACGTCCTGGCTGAGGAAGCCTTTGACACTCCCTGTCCCATAGCGGATAGCAAAGCCCGTGCCGTTGGCTATGTACGTCCGGGACTTGGAGGAGTCGTAGCGGCTGTGGGAAACTGGGCAGAAGGAGAAGGGGCACCAGGGTGGCGATGGCAGCACCAGCTCCGTTCCCCCAACCCCGTGCCCCAGCGCCAAGGGACCAGACAGCAACAGAGACCCCCTGGGCAAGGGGAGATCCACTCTGAGCTGGGATCTCTTGGGATGGAGGGAGGTGCCCCCCTTCACTGAGCTGCAGGGGATCACCCCCGAGCCCCTGTACTCACTGCAGGCGCTGTAGAGGGGGGAGCACTTGTAGGACGGCACCCACAGGTTGGCCGAGCCCGTGTCAAAAACCACCTTGAAGGTCTGGGCAGGGGTCCCAATGCTGATCTCACCAAAATACTGCGTCTGGAAGAGGCACAACGCGGAGCATCGCTGGGGACCCAGCTCAGGATGGGGGAAGGCTCACGCAGCCCCGAGCCCCAGCAGCAAACACCCTGCGGGGTGGGAGCGGGGCTGCACCGGGGTGGGACTCACATCCAGGTAGTTGGTGAGGAGGGTGGGAGCCGTCCCGTTCTTGGGACCGGCCGCGCTGCCGCTTCTGCTGTGCCTCAGCTCGGGGAAGACCTCGGACACCTTCACCCCCATCTCCTGCAGCGTCTGCCGGATGGACGGCATCCTCCGCAGCGCGATCCTGTGGGGCAGGACACGGCTGGGGGGGCCGCGAGCATCCCCGCATCCCGGCCATTCCCACCCCATCTCTCCAACCAATCCAGCCGGGCGGCTCTAGATGGCAGCAGCTCCCCGCAGCACCGTGGGGCTGCCGGAGAGGCCCGGGTGAGCTCCCGGACCCACGGCGTGAGGGATGCCCCAGAGCATCTGCCAGCCCCAGGCTTGGCTTGTTCGCTTTGCAAGCCCATCCCTTCTTCTTGGCCTCCGTGGTGGTTTGGGAGACAGGGATGCTGGCAACGCATGCGGTGCTCAACTGGAGAGAGGAAGAGGAGTGAGGAGGAGCTGGGGTGCTAGAGCAGAAAAGGAGGAAGGGTTTTCCCAGCAAGGACGCAGCAGGAGAACCCTTTGGTCCTCAGCACCCAGAAGCAAGAGGAGACAGAGAAACCCGGCACGCTGTGCAAAACACACGCCTGGTACCTCTGCAAAGCCTGGGCTGTTGGGGGGAAGATGGTGGCACCCCAGGTCACGGCCAGGACCAGCAGATACTGCTGCACCCTCCTGCTGTGTCCTGCTGGCATCGTGCTCTCCCTGGGCAGCCACCTCCTGTGCCAGCAGCGCTGTCACATCCCAAAGGGGAGGATGCTTTTATAGCCGGGTTTCTGCATCCCTGTGGGTTTCCCCTCCCTGCTGGCCGGGGGAGGGCTGGGGATCCCATGGCTGGGTGCTGATGGTGACAGTCCCTGTGGAGGGTGGCGTGGTCAGGATAGCCCTGTGCCTGGCAGAGGGAGCTGTGAATACCTGGGAGCTGCAAACCCACATTCCTTGTAGTTAATAGCGCTGGTACACATCGGTGCCCAACCATCACTGGTGCATCAGGGCACTAATGTCAATTAGAGGAGCTGGTGGGTGATGCTGATGCAGGGGCTGATGGTGGCCAAGGAGATATCCCCGAGGTTCATGCTCCAGAGGAATGGGGCTTTCCCCGAAGCTCTGGGATGGGGACAGCCAAGAGCACTCAGCCACAGCCCCCCCCACCCTTGGCCACGCAGACACCGGTGGCAAGCCTACCAGACCCCACTGCCCTTATGGGGCTGCTCTGAGCACGGTGGGTGGGAACCTGCCCCCTGAGGTTGCCTTAATGAAGAGCCTGGGGAAGAGAACAGCTAAACTCATCACAGCTCATAGAATCATCATGGGGTGGTTTGGAAGGGAGCTTAAAGCTCATCCAGCCCCAACCCCTGCCACAGGCAGGGACACCTTCCACTAGAGCAGCTTGCTCCAAGCCCCATCCATCCAAGTGTTCACAGCCTGGCCAGGCACATCACAGCCGGGAGGAAGGGCCCTTTCCCCACTCTCCATCCTGCACAAGCAGGGTGCAGAGGAGCCCAGCGTGGCTCTGGGTGCCCGAGCTGCTGTGCCCAGCCTTGCCCTGTGATTTGGAAGGGAAACGCTGCTCAAAAACCTCAGTGTGGGCTGCAGGAGCGCCTTGTACCAGGCGCATCGCTGGTCCCCTGTTCGCGTGCGGCAGCGCAGGGTGGTGGGTGCTGGATCAGGCCCTGTGGCTCCCAGCCCAGTGCTTGACCTCAGGGAACCTCAGTGGGAAATGACTGCAAAGGCAATAAAAATGTTCCTGGAAGGAACCTGATGGCTTGCCCCTGCCTCAAACGCCCCGTTACACAATCACAGCGGGGTACTCCTGGTGAGGATGGGGTTTAAGGCACTGCTGTCACCCTTGTGATGGTGCTGGGGTTGAGGGGGACACCCCACAAGCTACAGACAACTTCCCCCCGAAACGGGGGCTCTAACATCTCCTTTCCCCATGGGATTCTGGCTGGGGCACTTGGAGCCAGGGCAAGGCTGACCTCGGCAGGCTCTGCCCCATGGATTGCAGCCCCACTGCCCCCGGCCTTGACGTCCTTTCCCACGCTGGGTCCCGGTGCTGCGTCACTCAGGGGACCCTCATGCCCTGGCACAGGTTGCAGCGAGGTGCAGGGGTCAGGAGCTAAAACATGGTGAGGAGCCACAAACATAAATCCACTTCCCGGGCATCCCATGGGCTCTGCCTGCTCCGCGGAGCATCGTTCCCCAAGGGAGAGGCCAGGGCTGAGTGTGACTGCAAAGGAAAGGGGCCACATCAGCCAAGGGGAGGTGGACACAGGGCAAAAGACATCTGCAGGCTCTGGGGAGCTCTGGACATGGCTTTCTCCTAGGACAGACATATGGACTCCTCTCCATGGGGCAGCCAGAGCAGGATGCTTTGGGTACCAGGGCAAAGGCAGCACCAGCCTGCTCCAGTCCTGGAGGAAGACAACCCTTCCCTGCCACAGGAATGGCACCACAATCCCTTCGCTTGGGAGGGAAAACAAGACATAAACAGGCAAAACCACCTTACCCAAGCCCACTGTTACCTTACAGTGGCCAGTGCTAGCCCTGAGGTTGACCTGCCTTGCTGGTAGCACCAGGGCTGAGGATGCTCCTCAGCACAGGGTACCTCAAGGCATTTTCCAGTCGCCTTTGCAGCAGGGATGAGGAGCTGGTGCATGGGAAAGACTTGATATGGGGCTTAAATAACCTGCAACGGGTGGTTTTGTGCACAGGGTTAGAGGAAGGAAGGAGCCCGAGGGCCAGGCAGTGCCCGGAGGAAGGAGCACTGGGACATAACAAGCTCTGGACCACATCAATTTGATCCCTAGCCCTTCAGGAGACCCAGAGCACAGGGAAGAAGCTCAACTTTGCCCTGACAGCCTCAAAGCATCCCTTAAACCCCATCTGGCAATTACTGAAGGTAACAGGCCACCAGGCAAGGCTGCAACCTCAATCTGTGCACTGCTATGGGGAACCTGCTGCAAGGGGCTGGGGGTTCCTACAGTTACATGCCCTATAAAGAGCAGCTCACCTGGAAATAGCAGGGGAAAGCTCTTCAGTTATTTCCTTGCCTGCTTTCAAGGAGTCAAATGATCAAGGCAGGAATGAATGCAGGGATAATGCTTTCCAGAGAGAGAGGAACGCTTTCCTGCAGGATAAATGGGTTCCTTCAGTGCTGGGCTGAACAAGCACACTTCTCAAAATAAAACCTGAAATATTCAGTAGTTCCCTCTCTAAATGGGGCTCATCAGGAAGCTTTGCTGAGCAGCCCTGCTCCTTGAGGGATCTTGTAAAGCAGCCCAAGAAGGCAAGCACGGTTCTGGGCTTCCCACACTCTCCTCCAGACCATGAGGTTGTTGTTAGTAAAAACACAGGAGGCTTCCAAAGGTGCTCGGTTCCAGATGACTGAAAAGCTCAAGCATAGAAGCAGCTTCTGGGGAGGACTTAGAGGAGGCTCCGGCCGGCACCAGCACCAGGGGAACTGGGCCATTGACGTCAAGCAAACCAGAACTGCTCTGGCAGGGCTCATAGAAAGGGCAGTTCAAGAGCCGGGGGGAAAGGTTCCCCTGCAATAAACCATGCCCTGGGCCTGGAGCCTGCTGCGGAGCATCCCTCACTGCCAGCCAGGGATGGGGATTCTGCTCCTCTGCTCTCATGGGACCCCTCTGCAGCCCTGATCCAGCTCTGGGGCAGCAGCACAAAAGGGACGTGGAGCTGTTGGAGCGAGGCCAGAGGAGGCCATGGAGATGCTGCGAGGGCTGGAGCAGCTCTGCTCTGGAGCCAGGCTGAGAGAGCTGGGCTGGGGCAGCCTGGAGAAGAGAAGGCTCCTGAAGGGGAGACCTGAGAGCAGCTCCAGTGCCTGAAGGGGCTGCAGGAAAGCTGGAGAGGGGCTTGGGACAAGGGATGTAGGGACAGGCCAAGAGGAATGGCTTTAACCTGCCCAAGGGGAGACTGAGATGAGCTCTTAGGCAGAAGCTCTTCCCTGTGAGGGTGCTGAGGCGCTGGCACAGGGTGCCCAGAGAAGCTGTGGCTGCCCCATCCCTGGCAGTGTTCAAGGCCAGGTTGGACACAGGGGCTTGGAGCAAGCTGCTCCAGTGGAAGGGGTCCCTGCCCGTGGCAGGGGTTGGGACTAGGTGAGCTTTGAGGTCCCTTCCAACCCAAACCACTCCATAATGTTCCAGCCTGGCTTGATTTTCCCAGCAGGGTGAACCAAGAGCACACAGCTGCTCTGCAGCCCAAGTACAAGCTTTCAGCTGGGGTGAAGCCAAGACAGGAATGACAGAGGGGCTTTAGGGATGCTGCAGCCCTCACTTACCCCTGTGATATCCAGGCACATGCTTCCTCTCTCATCCCTCCTCAACAAGCAGCTCTTGCTCTGCTCTAAATCCTTGTGCTTTATCATCAAAGCTGTCCCTGATACCAGGGGAGCTGAACCCAACTCTCCCCTCCTCCTGCTCACAGCCAGGCTGATGCCAGGAAGCTCTCTTTAACCCTTCTCAAGCACCTTCTGCTGCAATCTGCACTCAACGTAAAGGCAGAGACCCCAAAACCAGCTACAGCTTCCCCTAAGCCAGACCTCCTATGGATACAGCACAGCCATACCGAGCTCAGGGACAGGGCTGCCCTGATTTATATCTGCTCATCCATTGGATCCCAGGGGCTCATCCTGGCTGCTGGGGCTGGGTTTAGGAGCCCAAATGAGTTCTCCCACGCCAGCTGAGCAGCCAGAGCAGATCCCAGCTCTGCTTTGACCTGGTCCAAACCTGCTGCAGGAGCTGTGAAGTGCCACAGGCAGAGCCACCAGCTCCAGCGAGAGGAAACAGGTTTAACTCCAACTCCTTAATTAATTCCTGCCAGTTAAGAGGGGCATCCACACAGGGACCAGCTTTGATGTGATTGCCTTGGCTTAATTAAACTCCTGCTTGCACCCAGCTTCCCAAGTGCTCCCAGGAACCCGGCTCGCATCCCCTCTGCTTGTGTCTGATCGTACAGACCCAATGGGCTCCCCAACCAGTCCTCCAGGAGCGCTCCTGGGGAGAGGAGGGACAAACCAGCTCCTTTGGAATCATCTGAAGTGGGGCTGGGAGAGCTCTGCACTGTGCTCAGGTCTCTGCCTGCTGTGATGCTCTCCCAGCCCCTCGCAGCCGGGGATGCTCATCCCGGCTCTGCTCCATCCCACAGGAAACAGGTCTATGGGAAACAGAAGTCCTGGCCCGTAACACTCAGACATCCCAGCACTGAAACTCTCCCAGCCCAGCACCTCAATGAATTCAGAACCCCACGTCATTCGCTTTTTCTTGGTCACTGAATGGGACCGGGGTGATTTATCCTCCTTGGATCAGGTCATGGCAGGTTAATGTGGTTTAATGGGTGTTTTCCTAACCCCCCCCCCCCCCCCCCCCCCCCGCCCCCTTCCGCAGCCCACATTCCCATGGGATCCATGGGAAGGCAGTGCCAGTGCAAGCAGGGCTGCCCGAGCTGGATGGGGCTCGTGAAAGGTCCCTGTGCCATCTCCAGTCATGCATGGGAAGGTCCATGTGCCACCTCCATTGGTGCCATGGGAAGGTCCCTGTGCCATCTCCAACCGTGCTGATGGGAAGATCCATGTGCCTTTCGCAGCCATGCCAACGGGAAGCTCCATGTGTCACCTCCAGTCACTGGTCTCAGACACACGTTTTAATGGAGTCTTTCAACAAGGGAAGACAAAAAGGCAGAAAATAACACAAAATATTCCCAGATCCCATCTGAACAGTGTCTGCTGCTGGAGCCTCCTCAGGAGCTGCTCCTGAGGCATCATCCCCATCACAGGGTGGTTCTGACCAGTGCCAAGGGCCCTGGGGCTGAGAGAGGCAACAGCTCCCGATGGAAGAGCTGGAGGCAGGGCTTGCTCCATCCCGTTTCCAGTGACTGGGTCCTTCTTGCAGGTCACACCATGGAGCTGCTGTCTCCCACCTTCTGCAAGAGCTGCAACAGGGGCAGAGCCTGATCAGCCACCTCCAATGATGCCCACGTTGGTCCCTGTGCCACCTCCAGCCATGGAGCCATCTCAGCCCCTGTGAACCATGCCCAGCGCCCTGCTCACCTTGCTCAGCACCGGGATGTTCACCAGCGAGCCAAAAAACCCAAAAGCCACAGGGAAGAAGCTCCTGTATCAAAGCAAAAGGCTCTGTTAAGAGCCACCGCAGGGCATGAGGAGCTCCGCTCCGCAGCCCACCCTGGCTGGGTGCATGGCACGGACCTGAAGAGGGTGATGAAGCCGTAAGCCTCCAGCAGCATGCCCAGGATTGGCCACCGCATGAGGACAATGATGACCCCCCCGAGGAAGAAGCTGGTGCCCTTCAGCTTTGGCCGCTGGAAGAAGAAGGTGAAGGTCCTCCTGAAGCCGATGATGAAGACCAAGCCGGAGAGGAAGAGGATCTGGGAGGATGCCAGGGAGCAGGTCAGGGAAACCCAGCCCAACGCTTTGCTCCATCCTGGGCATCTGTGCCTGCTGTGGGTTGGGATTGGGAGGCCCAGTCCCACTGTACTCACGTTCCCAAAGGCCAGGAGCACTGAGTCGAAGTACAAGAGCACCCCGAAAAGGACGAAGAAGATCCCAAAGCCGACCAGTCCCACGCCGATCCCTGTGTAGGATGGAGGGCTGAGGATGGAGCTCACAGCTCAGGTCCCACCTTGGGGGTGCTCTTCAGCACCTCCCTGGCTCACTCCCTCCAGGAATGCACTTTGGATTTGTCTCCAGAGCTTAGAAACAGCCTTTCCCACCTGCCCATGGGAAAGCCGTTTCCAGCATCTTTCGGAGCAGTGGCATGAGGGTGTCAGTGCAGGCAGCTGGTGGGAGAGGCTGGGAATGCTCTTTGGATGAGCCAGGGTGGCTGTTCCCAATGCAGACCTTGGGCAGATGATGGGGACAAACCCCGCTCTGCAGGACCCCAGTCCTTACACACTGGTCCCCACATCCCGGCCACGCTCCCACTGCATCCCCCCAACCGGACTTGCCATTGTCCCTCTCCCTGCCCCAACCACCCCAGCCAGCATCTCAAAACTGTGCCTTGGTCCCACGGGAATGGGCATCACCTCCAGGACACAGCCACCCCACATCTGCTTACGCTGGAAGTCAGTCAGAGACACCATCTTGGCAATGGGGCTGGGCCACGGCTTCCACGTGCCCTCCGCCGTCAGTGACCCTTGGAAAGGCCTTTAGTCCCCACGTCATCCTGGAAATCATTAACAGCCTGGACTTGCCTGTGGCACCTCTGGAGCGGGATGTGGTGGTTGGGCATCGCTGTGGGGTGAGCACCGGTGCTGGTTCCCTGCCTGGTCCTGTCCTCCCTGAGCATCCTCCTTGGATGTGCTTGGAGCAATCCCTGAAACAGGGGAAGCTGTGCCTGTAGGGGCTGCAGAAAACCTGGAGAGGGCCTTGGGACAAGGGATGTAGGGACAGGCCAAGGGGAATGGCTTTAACCTGCCCCAGGGGAGACTGAGATGAGCTCTTAGGCAGAAGCTCTTCCCTGTGAGGGTGCTGAGGCGCTGGCACAGGGTGCCCAGAGAAGCTGTGGCTGCCCCATCCCTGGCAGTGTTCAAGGCCAGGGAGGACACAGGGGCTTGGAGCAAGCTGCTCCAGTGGAAGGGGTCCCTGCCCGTGGCAGGGGTTGGAGCTGGATGAGGTTTAAGGTCCCTTCCAACCCAAACCATTCCATGACTATGCTATTATTGTTATCTGAGGTCACCTCCAGACAAAAGACTCTGACACCTTCTTGTTTCTTAGATACTTTTATTTCTCTAACACTAGCAAACCCCCCCGAAAACAAATGTCTCCCTCCCACCCTCCCCAGTGCATAAATAGATTTCCTCCCGATGCAAATCCTTCTCGGTTACAAGTCACTGGTATATGAAGTGTTATGAAAAATAATAACCAAAATAAAACTAAGAATCGAGTTCTCTGAAAACCAAAACAACAAAACAAACCCAAAATGACAACCACGGGGGTTCCACACCAGGGCAGGGCCTTGGGGAAGGCTCGGATGCATCCTCATCCTCTCCGGTCCTCGGAGGTGGGAATTGATGCCTATGGGGCTGTGAACCCTCTCGGCTCCCTGTTGGAGCTGGGATACAACCATGCACCATACGTGGTCCCCAGTGGTGTCCCCACAGTCTGTGTAAGGGGGGGGTCTGCCCCGGTTACACAAGCTGGGGAGCCCACCCCGGCCAGGGCAATAAATGCATCATCTCTTAAAACTTACAGTCTCTTTATACTTTATTTTTAAATAAATTTGCTTTTAATAAAAGCAGAAAAAATAGATATTTTTAAATAGGTTTTTTTGTTTGTTTGTTTGTTCCCTCCCCCCTCTGATAAATTGGCAAAGAATCTGCTTTTGGAACTCATGAGCAGGGCTGGTGCCAACCACCCTGCAGAGACAGAGCTCAGCACAACACAGTACCTCCCGAAAAGAAGAGAAACCCAAATATAGATATATATTATAAATGTATAATTTCCATAAAACATATATTAAGGCATGTAATAGCAAAATAAAGGGCCAGCTTTATGAGCTAAGAGGGCTGCAGGAAGCTCGGGAGCGGAGCGGGATTTGGGGCTCTGGGATCCTACCGGTATTGCTGAGATGGGGGCGATGGGGGATGCAGGGGGATGGGGTCAGAATCAGGCCAGAAAGGAAAGAGCTGCAGGATGGAGGGTTTCCAGCTCCTCACACCACCCGCCTTGCCCGTGCCAGCCCTGCCATACACACGACCTGGTGTGGAATTCCACTTTTCCAGGCAGAACCAGCCTTGTTTCCCTCCTCCAGAAAGCTAAAGAAAAGGGAAACTTGCTACAGGGAACCCAGACGAGTCGAAGGCTCTGGAGCACAATGGCCAGGTCTTGGGGTAAGACCTGGTGCCAAATAGGGTTGAGCCAGAGGTACCACCTGGCCCCAAACCCCTTCCCCTTCCCTCACCATCCCATCCACCACAGAGGGATCCCTGCTGAGCCTGTGGCATCACTGTCCCATCTCACACCTCCCATTGCCATGCAACATCCCCATCCGTGCCCAGACCTTCTGCTCCGTGCCAGCGGTGCACCAGTGCCCCAGGCAGCCCCTTACCCCCCTGAACCCAAGCACAGTGCTCCCCCAGGCACCTCCGTGTCATCCCCAGTCCCACCTCCATCCATCCTGCTCCTGATACAGCTCCTTATCCTCCTGTGGGGTGGGACAGGCCAGGCTCTGCCAGCCGGACGGATGCTAACAGCAAGTTCAGAGCACAGGGAAGGGAAGATGTGCCCGAGGAGCAGAGATGGAGCATCCATGTCCGGTGTATGGTGGAAGCACCATCCACGGTGGGCGCTGGCTGGTCTCCATGCAGGAGAACCCCTTCATAGACCTTTGGGAGACCAACACATCAGCACGGGGAGCTGGGGAGTCCCATGCTCAGCGGCACAGCAGATGCTCCTGCTTGGGCATCCACACAAGCCTGACACCCAGGACACCGTGGATGGCAGCCCAGGGGCTCCTTGGGGACCACGCTCTGCAGTGGACACCCCTAAAACCCCACACGTCTCCCAGGACAGGGCAGAGCCGCCGGTGCTGTCGGTGCTGCATCTTCCCACTCGCCATCCATGGGAGAGAAAGGGGGGTCCAGGAGAACCGAAGACGATGGCGAGAGATTTGGTGTCGTGTCGGGGGCTAAAATGTGGCCCCGTGGAACTTGATAGAGCCGGCAGCAGCCAGGGCTTGAGCTGGAGGGAGAGAAGAGTGGGGCTGAGCTATGTGTGGGGTGGCTGGTGATGGGGTAGCCCCTGTGCCCACCCCATAGACCCATCTCCTCCCCTGCTTGGAGGAGAACCTAGCGCAGATTTGGGTCCATGCCCCCAGCTCCATGGGGGGAACCTCCAAGCAAGCAGGGGGCTGCTGTGACGCCCAGTTTGCAGCCACCACCATGGATGTACCAGGGTGGGTGTACCCCAGAGCCTGGCTGCGAGACCCCCTTTTGGCACCCTGCATTGACAGGCTGAGCCCCCCCTGCCCATTCTGGGGTCTCTGACCCAGCCCAGGGGCTTCACCTTGGAGGACACTTGCACTGGTCCATGAGAGGAGACGGGGCTGACGTGGCTTGGGAAACGTTAGCTGGAGCAAGCAGCGATGGATGGACACCGGGAGCAGAGGAGGCACCCCCAGACCTTCCCCCCCCCCCCAACCATGGGGATGGAGAGAGGATGGGATGAAACAGGAGAGAATTGGTGCTTACTTCATGGCTCAGACACGCATAAAATGGCTGTTGTCGGCGCCGCGGGGTGTTTCAGACGAGAGGGGGTTGGTCGGTGGAGTCGGGGAGGCTGGGGAGGTGGGAGGGCTGGGGGTAGCGCATTGAGCTGGAAACGAGAAACGGGAGAAGGGGCTGAAGAGCACGAGGTGCCGGTGGCAGCCAGGGCAGGGAGGCGACCAGCGAGAGGTTAGAGGGGGGGGAATGGAGAGGAGGGCAGGGGGGAAGCAAGCGGGGATGGGGGACACAGCCACAGCAGCCCCCGGCCGCAGCGCGCACACGTGAGCTCCCTGCAGGGCTCCTCATGGACAAGGCACGGTGTGTCACCGCACTGGGTTGGATATGGTGTCACCACACTGGGTTGGACATGGTGTCACCGCACTGGGTTGGATATGGTGTCACCACACTGGGTTGGACATGGTGTCACCGCACTGGGTTGGATATGGTGTCACCGCACTGGGTTGGATATGGTGTCACCGCACTGGGTTGGATATGGTGTCACCGCACTGGGTTGGACATGGTGTCACCGCACTGGGTTGGATATGGTGTCACCGCACTGGGTTGGATATGGTGTCACCGCACTGGGTTGGATATGGTGTCACCGCACTGGGTTGGACATGGTGTCACCGCACTGGGTTGGACATGGTGTCACCGCACTGGGTTGGATATGGTGTCACCGCACTGGGTTGGATATGGTGTCACCGCACTGGGTTGGACATGGTGTCACCGCACTGGGTTGGACATGGTGTCACCGCACTGGGTTGGACATGGTGTCACCGCACTGGGTTGGATATGGTGTCACCGCACTGGGTTGGATATGGTGTCACCGCACTGGGTTGGACATGGTGTCACCACATTGCATTGGATATGGTGTCACCGCACTGGGTTGGATATAGTGTCACCGCACTGGGTTGGATATGGTGTCACCGCACTGGGTTGGACATGGTGTCACCGCACTGGGTTGGATATGGTGTCACCGCACTGGGTTGGACATGGTGTCACCGCACTGGGTTGGACATGGTGTCACCGCACTGGGTTGGATATGGTGTCACCGCACTGGGTTGGACATGGTGTCACCGCACTGGGTTGGACATGGTGTCACCGCACTGGGTTGGATATGGTGTCACCACATTGCGTTGGATATGGTGTCACCGCACTGGGTTGGACATGGTGTCACCGCACTGGATTGGACATGGTGTCACCGCACTGGGTTGGACATGGTGTCACCACATTGGGTTGGACATGGTGTCACCGGACATGGTGTCACCACATTGCATTAGATATGGTGTCACCACACTGGGTTGGATATGGTGTCACCGCACTGGGTTGGATATGGTGTCACCGCACTGGGTTGGATATGGTGTCACCGCACTGGGTTGGATATGGTGTCACCGCACTGGGTTGGACATGGTGTCACCGCACTGGGTTGGACATGGTGTCAGCACACTGGGTTGGATATGGTGTCACCGCACTGGGTTGGACATGGTGTCACCGCACTGGGTTGGACATGGTGTCACCACATTGGGTTGGACATGGTGTCACCACACTGGTTGGACATGGTGTCACCACATTGCATTGGACATGGTGGCCACCACACACTGCATGGCCGGGAGCTCCATCCTGCAGCCTTGCCAGGGTTGAAATCTGGTGCTGAAACCTGGGCCCAGCCAAAGAGGCTGCTCCATCCTTCCATGCTCAGCACTGCCGCAGGGAAGGCACTGCCGGCATCCCCAGGCTGGGTCTCCCCCTGCTCCAGGATGGATGCAGCCTGGTCTCCTGCCCATATTGCCCCTTGCTCCTGGTGCCTTGTGCAGCCGATACCCCAGTCCTGCATCCATGACACTGCCCATGGTCTGCTCTGCCATGGGGCTGGCAGCTCCAGCCCCTATCCCCTGCCTGGTCCTTACCCGAGAGCATGCGGCCCCGGCGCGAGGCCTCGGCAGCCAGAGCACAGGAGATCTCGATCCTCTTCTCCTGCTCCTGCAGCTGGGTCTCGGGGTCCTGGGGAGCATCCAGCTCCCCTCGCCCAGGGGGATGACGTTCTGCAGGCTGCACACAGCACCGGCATCAGCACCCATGTATGCACCCAAAGGGGCAGACCCCCATGGGGACGGCCAGGGAAGGGGGTGCAGGCGGGTGGTTGGTGCCCCAGGGTGATGGGGGCACGGGCACAGCGGCCTCACCTGGATTTGGCAATGAGGGTCTTGATCCTTTCCACCTTCTTCTGCTTCTCCTTCATCTCCTCGGGGCTGAGGGGCATATCCGGCTCCAGCTCCACGTACCGCTCGGGGATGAGCACTTTGTCCGGTGTGGAGAGCTGGGGGCAGTGGCAGGGATGAGCTGGGTGCTGGACACTGGGGACCTGTGTCCACGCTGACCCCAGCTCCCAGCACCCAGCAGGCAAGGGCAGCCCCTGGCCAGGCACCAGCAGAGCCTCCAGGACCCTGACCAATATAGGGTGGATTGACACTCTAGGGTTGAGCTTAAACAGTCTTCCAGTGCCTGTAGGGGCTGCAGGAAACCTGGAGAGGGGCTTGGGACAAGGGCCTGTAGGGACAGGCCAAGGGAATGGCTTGAACCTGCCCGAGGGGAGACTGAGATGAGCTCTTAGGCAGAAGCTCTTCCCTGGGAGGGTGCTGAGGCGCTGGCACAGGGTGCCCAGAGAAGCTGTGGCTGCCCCATCCCTGGCAGTGCTCAAGGCCAGGTTGGACACAGGGGCTTGGAGCAAGCTGCTCCAGTGGAAGGGGTCCCTGCCCGTGGCAGGGGTTGGAGCTGGAGGAGCTTTGAGGTCCCTTCCAACCCAAACCATTTCAAACCTCAGAGCGAGGGGTGCCCATGCCCAGGCTGCAGCTCCCCAGGACAGCTCCTCCTCACCTCCTTGTTGATGTCCACATCGTAGTGCTGTGGCTCCAGCTCCATCTTGCGCAGGCGGGCGATCTCCTCCTGGGGGGTCTCATAGACCTTGCTGGGGTCATCGGAGCGCAGCGCTGCCTCCAGGTCGGAGATGTCCACCTCATGGATGCTGCGGTGCCGGCGCACCTGAGAGGGACCCCGGTCCCACTGAGCACCCCGGGACGCCACCATCACCCCTTTCCCAGCCCCGGGGTCCACTCTGCTCCATGAGGGACCTCTGCAGAGCAAAGGTGGTCCAGGGACTCACCACTTTATATGAAGCGGGTGCCTTCGTGCTGGGGGGCTCGGGCTGCTGGGTGCCAGGGAGCTGCAGGCTGCGCCGCTTCTCCTTCATGGAGCCGCTCTGGTGCCGCTTCATGCGGTCGATCTGCTCCTCCACACTCATCTTCACCTTCGTCTCGTTGGCGAACACAGCGCTCTTGGGTCTCTCCTGTCGGGGAGCCAGCCCCATGGTCACGCATCCCCATCCACAACCCCACCTGCAACCAGCTGCTGCGCCCAGGGGAGACGTGGAGCCATGGAATCAACCAGGTTGGAAAAGACCCTTAAGATGATGTCCAACCATTGCCCAGCAGTGCCAAGGTCACCCCTAACCCATGGCACTGAGGCCTCATCTCCACGCTGTGTGAACACCTGCAGGGATGGTGACTGCAGCCCTGCCCTGGGCAGCCTGTTGCAATGCCTGAGCACCCTCTGGGGCAGGAATTGTTCCTCCAGCTCCATCTAAACTGCAGTAACAGGGTCCACGACTGCAATAGAGACCCCCTTTGCTGTCCCAGCCGCAGCACCCGGCCCCAGCCCTTGGACACGAGCCCTACCTTGGAGCCGAGCCCGTTGGCCATGCCACCACTGCTCCTCCGTGGCACTCCAGCCGCTGGCATCACCTCCTCCTCTGCTGGAGACTTGGTCCTGGGGGGCACGATGCCCACTGCAGAGCAAACACCAGGCTGAACCCCCTTGGGGACCATGGTCGGGGCCCAGCAGGACACCGGGTGGGAGTGGGGATGTGCCATTCCCAGTGCCATACCCTTGTTGAGAGCTGCCTGCTTCTCTGCCTCCTGCTCCTGCCGGAGCCCCTCGGCCTGGGGACCAGGGGGTGCTGGTCGCTGAGCATCCTTCTTGCTCTGCTCAAAGCTTGGCTTGGGCTGCAGGAGGGAAACGGGTCCCCTGTGAGCCTCTGTCCTGCCTGGGGGACAGAGCTGCTGCTCCATCCCCACAGCGGTGTGGTGACATGCAGCCCCGAGGAGCGGATGGACACACAGACATAAGCAAGATCCATGCCCTCCGGAGGGGATGTGGTCTCACAGGGGCAGGATCTGGCACCATGCAGCAGCAGAGAGCGAGCAGAAGGCCAGTTTTGGGGTCCTTCCCTGCTTGCATCCCATGGGAAAGTCCTGCCCAGAGCCCAGGCATCAACACCAATGTGATGGAGGGGTCCAGCACCAGGCCAGGGAGCACAGTGTGCCCCCCCCTCAACCACCCTGTGCTCCGCGTGGGCATGATGCATCCCAACACCCCTTACACCCCACAGATCAGCATGCAGCCAGGACTGGGATACCCCACGGCTGCTGGAGGTGCTCCTGCACCCATAGTCATGCCCAGAACCATTCCCAACACAGCACAGCCACTGCTTTGTGATGCCAGCCCCTGTGTGCATGCATCCTGATGCTAGGAATTCCTAGATCTGTGTTTGCCCTGGGTGGGCAGGAGTTGGGGGGGGGGGGGGGGGGGGGGAGTCACCCCCATTGTCAGAGCTTGATGGGGAGCCATGGAAGGACAGCAAAAGAGGTGAGGAAAGCAGAGGGGATGATGCCAGGGGCTACCCAGGAGGAGCCAGTCCCTGTCCTGAGCAAGAGCAATGAGTGCAGGGGACCGGGCAGGGGCAGGAGGGCCATTGCCCATCGCTCCCCTTGGAGAGGGCAGGTACCAGCCACATGCTGCAATCCCCATGCCAACTGTCACCTCCACACTGTCCCTGTCCCCCTGCCAGGGCAGGAGCGGGGACGTCCCCATCGCCTGCCTCATCCCAGCCCCGATGTCTCGGGGAGGAAGAGGATGCGGCCGCTGCTCTGGAGAGGTTTCGGTACCTGTCCCCTCTTGGCCTCGCCGCCTTGCTGCCAGGACGGGGAGGTGGGGTAGGGCCAGAGCCGGCTCTCGCTGGGGAGCGGAGGGATGCTCGGAGGAGACTCCAGGGGCACGTAGGACTTGGGGAGGGGAGGTCGAGGCGGGCCTGGTTCCTGGGGTTGGAGAGGAGCGGGAGGCATGAGAGCAGAGAAGAGAGAGCCGGGGAGGAAGAGAGAGTTAAAGATCCAGACAACACAGAGCAAAGCAATGAGCTGAGGAGGGAGAGCAGCTCCCGCGGCTCCGTGCTCCCTGTCCCCATGCAGGGAGGTCCGTGCTTCCCTTCGCCTGCCCCTGAGCATGGGGCTGACAGCCCCCAAGTGTACCAAATTCCACCTTAAACTTCACATGGAGGAAGGTGAGGAGCTGCCAAACCCCGAGCAACGGCAGTGAAAGGGGACTGTGGCGCCAGCAGGAGCTGGTCCTGAAGCCAAAGGCTGCAAAGCCCAGCTGCAGCCCCTGCAAGGACCAAGGGTCCAGGTGTCACTGGGAGACACCACAGCCCATGCATGTGGCCAAAACGGTGTCCCCAGGCAGAGCCACAGGGAAACACAGACACGGTCTCTGCCTGGTGCCTGAGCATCCCTCGGGATGAGGGCTCAGGACCTGAGGGCTCAGGACCCAAGGGCTCCCTTGGGCCATCCCCTCTCACTCACCTCACCAGGTCCTGGCTTCGTGGGCGATCCCTGGGAGCCAGAGACGAGGGAGAAGGGGCTGAGGGGGCTGGTGAGGCTGGCGGAGCTCAGGGGGCTGGCGGGGCTGTTGGAGCTGTACGTTCCTGAGGGGCCCATGGCCACTGCGGAGGAGAAGAAGGGCATCCCATCAGGGCCTCCGTGTGCCCAAGTGGATGCTGCCGTCTGCCTCATGGCACCGGGGGTTTGGGCTGTGCGAGGGATGGAGCCCGCTCACCTCTGTGCTTGGCCGTGTCCGTGCCGCGGGATGGGTTGTTCTTCCTCAACCCCTCCATCACATCCTGGATCCGCCAGATCTCCTTCTGGATCTGCCGGTTCAGCATCTCGTTCTGCAGGGGAGAAAAGGCAGTGGGCAGAGAGGGTCCTGATGTTGTCAGACCCCCAGCCCCAAGCCATGGGACCCATGGGTGCAGGCACAGCCACAGTTTTGCTCCTCAGCAGCACGGGGAGCACTAACCCAGCCCCTTGATGGCACCTAGAGGTTCCTCAGCCCCCCTGGCCAAAGCAGGACACCAAGGGCTGAGCATGGAGCAGCCGCTTGCACATTGGCTCCTTGTGGGGAGCAGAGAGCAGAAGGAAGCAGGGGGCTTCCACCTCCATGGGGACGGTGTGGGGACCACTCACTCACCTGGATGTCCAGGTTGAGCTGCTCCCAGAGGTCATCGTGCAGGGTGGACACCTCGCTCTCCAGGCTCTCGTACTCAGCAGTGCTGTTTGCCAGGGCCTGGAAGGGGGAAGATGGGTTGGTGGGAAGGGTTTTGGCTGGATTATCCCATGGCTGGCAGCAGCAATGAGAGTGGGAGCACCCAGGAAAGCAGGGGGATGCTGCACCCGACAGAACCCCCCAAGCAGGGAAGGAGGAGAAAAGAGATGGTAGCAGGTAGAGGACATCCAGAGATGGAGCAGAGGAGGAGCCTGTTACCGTGCTGGCCTGGGACAGCTCCACACGGATATTGATGAGCTGGTTCTGGAGGGATTCCTTCTTGTGCAGCAGCTTCTCTGGGTAGGCAGGTTGGCTCCCAAACATCTCCAGCTCCTGGTGTGTCCCCATCAGGGCACTCTCCAGGCTCTCCTTGGGGGAATAGACGGAGGATGCAGCTCTCAGAGCCTGGCTGGTGCAGGAGCTACGGGTCCTGTCCTCAACAGGGCATTAACACACAGGGAGTCCAGGACTGTGGCATGGCCGGGGCATTGGGCCCAGGCTGAACAAGTCCAGCTCCCTCAGCCTGGCTCCATGGGAGAGAGCTTAGAGCAGCTCCAGTGCCTAAAGGGGCTGCAGGAAACCTGGAGAGGGGCTTGGGACAAGGGATGTAGGGACAGGCCAAGGGCAATGGCTTTAACCTGCCCGAGGGAGACTGAGAAGAGCTCTTAGGCAGAAGCTCTTCCCTGTGAGGGTGCTGAGGCGCTGGCACAGGGTGCCCAGAGAAGCTGTGGCTGCCCCATCCCTGGCAGTGCTCAAGGCCAGGTTGGACACAGGGCTTGGAGCAAGCTGCTCTAGTGGAAGGGGTCCCTGCCCGTGGCAGGGGTTGGAGCTGGAGGAGCTTTAAGCTCCCTTCCAACACAAAGCAGGCTGGGATTCTGTGACCTCCCCCAGCTCGGACACATCCCAGCTGATCTGTCCCCAGGTGATCAGGACACGTTGCTTCCTCGCCATGAAGTGCCAGCAGGGCACATCCATCGCCGTGCAGCCAGGTCCATACCCAGCTAGCCCCTAGAGCTTGCCCATCGCGTACCTTCTCTGCTCGGAGCTGCTGCACCAGCCTCTCCTGCTCCCGCAGCACCTTGTTCTGCTCACAGAGCTTCCCCAGCAGCTTCTGCCAGCAGGGAAAGAGAAAGGAAGGACAGGATGAGAGCCCTGCTGTTGGATGCATCCACGGCAATGGATGTGCTCAGCCAGGATGCATCTCTATGGGGGGAGCAGACAGGGGCAAAAGCAGGGGGTGAAGAAGGAGTTGCACAGGATGGATGTTTGCTCTTACATCGGTGTCTTGCTCGCTGATCTTGTAGGTGTGCACTGTCTCCCTGTAGGCCTCCGGGAAGGGGGTCACCTGCAAGAAGAGAGTGGGGTGAGGCAGCTCCCAGCCCTGCTTCCCCATCCCTGCGGGCAGGGAGAGAACAGGGAGCTGAGTCTCTGGAGGCATCCGTCCGGAGGCAGTCGGTGCTGCAGGCAGCGCAGGATGCCGGTGCTGGAGCCAGCCGGGATGCTCGGATGAAGACACAACCTCCCTCCCCCTTCCCAACCCATCAGCTGAGTGAGCAATGGGAATTAGCCAGAGACAACCTACCCATGGGATGCCAAGAGCCGAGTTAGAGATGCCTCATGACCCATTAACTGCCCGTGTGTACACGCCACCATTCCAGAGGCAGGGAAACAAAGGCAGAGAGGTGAAGCTGTAATCCCACCTCACAAACACCAATAAACCAGCAGCTGCACCAGGGCCTGTTTACCATCCAGCTTCCCTGTGAGTCATTTGCCTTTCCTGGAAAACTAAATTACTAATGGGACCTCAACAATTAAATGCCTCCAAGATCTCGAGATGAAAGGCATTAAGGTAGAAGGAAGGGGATTATTATTGCTAGAAAGCAAGACGCTGCTTTAGAGCCAAGCTACAGGATGATGGAAATAGACTTGAACCTGGGAAATGCCAAGTGGGGCTGGAGGCAAAGCCTGGTGGATTGGGATCTGCTGCCTCCAGGCAGGGAGCTGGGCCAGCCAGAGCATCTCAGCATCTCCAGCTTCACCCTCCAGCACATCCCTGTGCACAGCAGATGGAAACAGGCAATTTCCCCACACTAAAACCCCAGCAGTCACCCATCTAGATGCCCTGGGCAGCACAGTGGGGCCTCATGGGGCTGGCAGCATCACGAGCTGACAATTGCAGCAACCCAGAGACACATTCCCAAGTGTTCCCAGCCTTCCTGTGCTTGGAGCTGCTGCCCAGCATCAGCAGGGAGATCCCTGCAGCCCTCACCGGGCTGGGGAATCCAACGAGCCAGAGCCTCAGCAGGTAAAACGTTGTTTCCTCTCCCTGCTACAGCAGTTACAGCTTTGGTTTAAGAGCTTTGCATTCCTGTCTTTAAGTCATCCCACATCTTCCTGCCCTATCCACACGTGACAACAAACTGAGGGCGAGCGCAGCAGCCAAGTCCAAACGACGATGAGAGCTCAGGACTGCTGCATCTGCACCTTGTGCTCTTAGCACAAGGATTTACCAGCTTTTAACGGCTCATGGATGGATTAGCAAAGCCTGTGATGGACCAGCAGGTACCCCAAGAGCGTGATGTGCTGCAGCCGCATGGATGCTGGAGCCTGCATGAGTGGGAATGGCAGGAGGTGACCTCGGGGATGGAGCGTGGCCGTGTGGCTGCCATGCACGGCCCCGTGGCCGGAGGCTTACTTGCATGTAGAGCTGAGCCCTAGGGGAGGAGGTCTCCACCATCCTGTTCACCATACTGATGAGGGTTTCGCTCTCGCTCATCTGCGGCAGACAGGGAAGGAAAGATCAGAGGTCAGCAGAGATGCGCCCGGTGCAGTCGGAGCAGCAAGGCGGCTCAGTTCGGGAGCCCTCAGGGCAAGATGCCACCTCCAAGAGATGCCCCAGAGCCTCAGCCACATGATGGTGGCTGCCCCGGGGTTGCTGCTGCTCCGTTCTGGGCACTGCAGAACAGCCTCGGCTTGGTTGCACGCCCTGAAAGCGTTGTTGAAGGGAAAACACAGATAAAGGCGCACCAGCTCCGAGCTGGGCAGCAGCAAACTGCACACACACACACACACACACACACAGAGGCTTGCACAGAGACACCAGACCTGCAGTGCAGCGTGGTCCCAACACACTGACAGACAGAGGGGCCCTGCTCCTGCACTGACAAACAGCTCCGTGCCCTGTGCTCAGGGCTGTGGTGATCCCTCTTGAAGCACAGATGAGCTGTGGCCGCAGCATCCTTCGGTGCTGCACAATGGAGCTGCATCGCTGCCTTTGCCTGCAGTGATTGGAGCCCCTTGCACCCCGTGGATAGGACCCTTGAGGTCCTGGTGATGGGTGTTCAAGCTCAGGGACCAAAACCTCGACTGGTCAGCAAGGTGGGTGCTGCTGAGCAGCATCCCCACGACTCGACAAGCAAGGAGAGAGAAACCAGAGCAGCGAGCTGTGTGAAAAGAGCCGCTTGACAGCGTCACTCCAAATCAGTGTCCCCAGAGGTCAGCAGGAGAGGAGGAGGAGACGCAAAGCCTGTATCAGGAGTGGTTTAAAGAGCCTTGGAGAGCCAGCCTTGCTGCTGCGACACAACCAGAGCGCTTTCATTGCGGCGAGTGCTCCTGCCTGTCCTTGGCTCTGCTCCACGGCAGACACAGATCCCAGCGATTACCGCACCGACGGGGATTTGCAGACTAATGGGATTGTCTCTGGAGCAGCTCCCTTAGTGCCAGCCTGGCTTTTGCAGGCAGCACTGCTGATGGCTCCCATCCGCAGCTTTAGACTTCATCCGGTGCCTGCAGCTCCCACCCCAGCAGTCCCCAGCTGGATTTGCTCCCATCCCTGCTTCCTGGGATGAAGTCAGTTCACAGCTTTCATCCAAACACCCCCTGGCATGCGGAAACCAGAGAGCTGCTGCTCTGCTGTCGGTCCCAGTGAGGGTCTCACACCCAAACTGCATCAAACCTCTCACCTTTGAGGAGGAATTATAGAACCATGGAATGGTTTGGGTTGAAGGGACCTTAAAGCTCATCCAGTTCCAGCCCCTGCCATGGGCAGGGACACCTTCCACTAGAGCAGCTTGTTCCAAGCCCCATCCAGCCTGGCCTTGGGGAACAAGGCCAGTATGTCCCCAGAACACAGCATCCAGCACCGTGCACGGGTGTCCTGCACCACCCAAGCCCTGCACGGTGCAGGGGGGGGTTCAGAGCCAGCTGCCTCCCTCTATACTCCCCAGATCCATGTCAGAACCTGCCCCAGCTCCCCCCAAACCCCTTATGGGCTCCAGCATCCTACACAGGAGACACCACCAAGGGGGTTTTCCACCAAGCCATGAGCAAACCCTACAGACGGGAGGGATGGAAGAAGCAAACCAAAGACGACTTGTGCTGCTTTAATGCCAAGAAGGGTGAGGATGGATGTTAGGGGAAGAGATGCTGCGCTGGGAGGGAGGGGGATGCCGCTGGGGACAGGGCACACAGGGATGTAAGCAGCGTGAGGCTCGCAGCCAGCTCTGCCTACCTGCTGGTCCAAATACTCTAGGTTTCTTTGCAACTGAAGGTCTAAAAGTTCATCCTACCAGGAGCCAGCAGGCACGCGGCAAGAAACAACACACAAAACATATAAAAGAAGAAGCAAAGCGGTTAGGTGAAGGCTACGGAGATGCGGAGACCTCTTGGAAGTGAGAAGTGTCCCTGTGGATGGGCCCTGCAGGAGACCCGCTCTCCTCCCCTTTCCCTGTGTCTCTGGCTAGTGAGGATGGATGGCAGCATGGGTGGCTTATGGTAACTCGTGCTTCTCCCTCCTCCAACAATCTGTGCTGCCCCATGGCTTTGGGACTGTGCTCTATGTGTGTGGGGGGGGACATCCTGGTCTCACCCCATCAGCTCCAATGGGAAAACACAATGCAAAGCAGCAGCTGTATCCAGAACTGAGGAATTAAGAAGGGGAGAGGTGCAGGGTGTGCGCCAGCATCAGCCAGGGACCACCCTGGCCCAGCAGCACACGGGATATAGGGATCCCCCATGACCTGGGGGATGCAGGGTAGGAACCGGGGCCTTTCCATAAGGATTTCCTTTGGGTATGGCAGGGAGGGAGCAGAGACAACAGCACAAGGACCTGTGGTCCCCACCTGCCCACAACCTGGAGCAGAGTGATTCCCCCTCAGCCACCAGAGCCAGGACCCTCCCAAGCCAGCCCCACATCCCCAAGGGACCCTGCGCCCCCCGGTGCCAGCCCCTCAGCCCCAGCACCGTACGTACCATCTTGTCGTGGATGGTGGGTGATGCTGGGTAGTGGTACGGGTACATTCCCGCAGGGACGGGCCGTCTGTCCCCCAGATAGTCATACTGAGGAGAGAGGAGACCCCCCCCAAACCAGAGACGTGAGAGAGGTGTGTGAGGGGCCACAAAGCAAAGGCAGACCCCAGCCCTGCAGCAGGATCAGGCCTGGCTTTGGGGCACAGAGCAGTGGGACAGGGACACCAGAGCTCGCTCCTTGGGAGCGCATCACTCGTGGTGGCCTTGGGCATCCCATCAGGCTCACAGGAGCAGCCAGGAGGGAACAACCACAGCCTGGATGCAGGATGCCAATGGGACACCTAAGGCCATGGACTTATCTCTGCCCATGGCACGGGGGTTGGAACTGGATCATCATAAGGTCCTTTCCAACCCAAACCATTCTATGATTCTATGACTTGGTGGCATTTTGAGGAAGGCAGTGAATAGAATCATGGAATGGTTTGGGTTGGAAAGGACCTTAAGATCATCCCGTTCCAACCCCCTGATATGGGCAGGGACACCTTGCTCTAAACCATGTTACCCAAGACTCCATCCAACCTGGCCTTGAACACCACGAGGGATGGAGCATTCCCAGCTTCCTCGGGCAACCCATTCCAGTGCCCCAGCACCCTTACAGTAAAGAACTTCTTCCTTATATCCAACCTGAACTTCCCATTTCCCCTGTTCTGCCTGCAGAGAGGACAAGCGGTACTGCAGCATCCCTGCCCTCACATCCCCAGCCAGGGTCCCCCTCCAACCCCCTGCATCCCGAGCACCGACGGGCATTTACCTTTGGAGAACTGATGGATCTCCTCATCATGAAGGTGGTGGGGTCAGCGTAAATCTCCTCTCCCCGGGGCGGCAGGCGCTCAAAGCGGGCACTGGGCGAGCGCACCGGGGAGTAAACCCGTGCCCGGGCATAGGAACCTTGGCTGGGCGAGCGGGGCACGGAGTGGGACCGGGGCTGCAGGGACATGCGCCGCAGCGAGCCCGAGGCTGCATCCACCTCATCCAGGTAGGCTGGCTGCCTCCCAGGCCCGGGCAGCCAGAGCGGGACATCCTGGCGGCCGAAGCCGGGATGCTCCTTCCAGTCACGGAGCTGGTAGGTGCCTCCATTGCGGAAGGAATGGCGCTTGTCCTCCAGTGCCCAGGGCGGGCTCACCCGCTCGTAGGCTGGCATGGAGCAGATGCTGTCGGGGCGCACGCCGGGGGGATAGTACTGGTAGTCCTCGGGGTACTGGGGTGAGTAGGGGGAATAGTAGTCGGGTACCCGGCGAGACATGGGGTAAAACCTGGTGGGGCTGGAGAAGGGAAGGAGAGAGGTGAGAAACAGGCTGGTGTCAGGCTCCTCGCTCTGAAGGTGGGGGTCCCAGGGGGCAAGGACTGCTTTAGAGCAGGCAGCTCTGATGCCAGAAACTGGAAAGCTGGCTGGCTAGCATCCTTCCTCTTAGGGACCCTGTGGTAGCATCCCTCCTCCCAGGGACCCTGTGGTGGCTTCCCTCCTATCATACCTCCTCGCATGGACCCTGTGGCAGCATCCCTTCTCCCAGGGACCCTATGGTAGCATCCCATCTCCCAGGGACCCTGTGGTAACATCCCTTCTCCCAGGGACCCTGTGCTAACATCCCTTCTCCCAGGGACCCTGTGGTAGCATACCTTCTCCCAGGGACCCTGTGGTAGCATACCTTCTCCCAGGGACCCTGTGGTAGCATACCTTCTCCCAGGGACCCTGTGGTAGCATACCTTCTCCCAGGGACCCTATGGTGGCCTCGCCTCCTGGCATCCCTCTACAAAGGCTCTGCGACATTCCTGCTCCTAGGGACCCCATGATGACATCCCTTCCAAAATCCCCTTTGTCTTTTTGGGGTGCCCCCCCCCAGCTCAAACCTATCCATGGGGTCAGCCTAGAAAGGAGATTTTCTGACCCAAGGAGGGCTCAGAAAGCAGATAGGAAAGGGAAACCCATCCTCAGAGCATCCTTGGGGAGAAAAGGAGCAGGACCCCCCCTCCCCGTGCTCTGCCCTCACCTCCTCAGCTCCTCGGGGGGCACAGCCCCACGGCGCGAGTTCACCCATTGCTGCAGCTGCGTCATGGAGCTCTTGCGCTGCGCCAGCTTCTCATGGTTGGTGCGGGGAGCGATGCTGCGGCGCGGGGCCGCACTGTCCCCATCGCCGGGGGGGAAGGCGGTGCTGCCGGGGCGGCTGGGGGACGGGTACAGCCAGCCATTGGGCTGTGGTGGCCGCTCCGCCGGCACCCGCGGCGCTTCGGGGTAAGGGCTGCCCGGCTCCGAGGGCATCTCCGGCCCCGCGATGCCGTTGGCTTTGGCCAAAGGCTCCTTCTTGCTCTCCATCCTTTCCGGCTTCCTCTCCATCTTCTCCGAGCCGCGGCCGTCGCCTTCGCCCCGGGTCTTGGTGTCGGGGTCAGCTTTGGGGTGCTCGCGGTGGGAGGTGTTGTGGTGGTGGTGGTGGTGGTGGTGTTTGCTGGGGGGGATGTTCTCAGAGTCTGGCTTCTCGTGTCTGGGGGTGCCAAGACGGGAGAGAGCGTTACCTCCCCTTAGCCATGCCGCACGGTGGCATCCTGTCCCTACCTCAACTTGGGGGGGGGGGCAATGCTCCCCCAGCTCCATTCTACAGAGGGACATGGTGGTCCATCACTGGGGTACCAGGGGACGGGGATAAGGGGGAGATGGAAGGTGCTGACCTCTGTGTCGGGGGGATCTGCACCCGGGCGGCTTCGCCCATGGCTTGGATCCAGGATTCCTGCTCCTCTGTGTTCTCAGCGCTGAAGAAGTAGGTCCGGATGCCAGCGTGCTCGGCCTGGGGAGACAGGGACTGCCCGTTACTTGCCGGCATCTCCTCCACCCAGCACACCGTCACCTGCAGGGAGGCAGAGAAGTGGGGAGAGACACAGACAGGAGGGTGAGAGCCCCGTTTCCACCCCTGCACTGCCCTGCTCTGCAGGAGAAGCCATGGTCCTACCCCTCTGCCCAAGCCACGTGCATCCTTGCTGGCACCAAATGGGAGGAAGAGCCAGCACCAGCCCTTATATCCTCAAGGGGGATCCCCTTGGGAATAGCCAAGAGGTTGCTGCACCCCAGTACTGAGCAGGTCCCTTCAGGGTGGGAGAAGGGTCTGTGTCCCATTACCAGACATGCACGGTTAGCAGGAAGGTGGATTCTTGGCCCCCAGACAACAATTTTGGGGGAAAAAGGTTTGTTTTTAGTCCAAGATGTCAGTGCCCACCCTGCACCTGGAAGGTGCTGGAAGGGAGGTCTGACTATTTAAGGCCTGATCAAACCTTCCACCTTCCCCCTTTTGGAAAGGGAAGGGGGGAAGGAAAAGGAGGCAGCAGGAGGTTTTGCCCCTGAACACCTCTCGGGAGTTCAATCCCTTAGAAGAGTACAAGAAAACTCAAAAACGGGGGTGTGAGTGAACACATCCCTTGGGTTCCACCTTCCCCAGAGCATGCAGCCTCCTCTGCAGCCGGAGGACAGCCCCAGTCCGAAGCGATTCCCCCCCCAGGATTAGTGCGAGCGGAGCATGCAGCAACCTGCGGTCCCTCGCCCTCCGCATGCATCAGAAACACAACAAGGTACTACCTAGGTGATGGCTGGGTGCTGCCGTGGTGGACGGCCACGAAGAGGGACCTCCTGTCCGGGGATCCTCACCCGCGGAGAGAGGAGGAGGAGGAGGAAACACAGACACGGGGTCAAGCTGCAGCGTGGTGGGTGCTGCAGCACCAACCTCCCCCGGCCATCGGGACCCTCCTCTGGGCACAGCCATCCCAAACCCCTCATGAGCAGATGGAGAGGCAGGAACGTGCCTCGTGAGCAGCAGCTCCTCAAGGCTCTTTCCCCACCAATGTCATAGGATCAGAGAGTGATTCGGGTTGGGAAGGACCTTAAAGTTCATCCAGTCCCAACCAGGGACACCTTCCACTAGACCTGGCTGCTCCAAGCCCCGTCCAACCTGGCTTTCAGGCAAGGAGACACGTTTTGGCACCTCCAAGGCCAAGGCCTTCTCTCTGCAACCCCCTATGTCGGCAGGAAGGTTTTTGCGCTGCTGTATATGAACACAAGCCAGCCCATGCACTGACCCATCAACAAGCGAGTGCCAGCATCACCCATGACCATGGGCACCAGTTGTGCTGGGGAAGGTGCACAGTGATGCTGCAGGTACACAAGAGGCAGGGAAGCTCAGACCCTGCTCTGAGGGATGGGTGCTGCAGCAGGTGCTCTCTGCTTCCTCTCCAACACCCACAACAGCACAGGAAGATGGAATAGCCTCTCATTAGGGGCTATTCCTTTGCAATTAAACTTCCCTTTTCCTTCTCATGCCACTCAAAGCAGGCTAAAAGAGCTAGGGCCACCTCCCTGTGTCTGCCTCTGGAGTGGTGCCAGGCTGGCTGGCAGCAGGATGTGGAAGGGGAAATGGGGCAGGAAGAGAGGTGAGAGCATCGCTGGTGAGCACCCAGCTTCCAGGTACAGCTCAGGCCCAGGAGGTGATGCCCCTGCCCCACGCGTGCCTCAGTTTCCCCAGCACAAGGCACATCCACACAGCACCCAGGGTACCGCTGGGGTTACTGCAGTCGCCCTCTCCCCAGCTTGCCCCATGCCCCACCACCAAGCAAGAAAAGGAGCAATGGGGGACCCTGTGAGCATCACCCCCATCCCCTGCAAGCCCCAGCACAACCCAGCGCTGACCTTGAACGTGTGCTTCCTGCTGATGTTGTCCGAGGGCTGCACGGCTGCCACGCGGAAGCTGAGGAGCGGGATGCTGCCCAGGATGCTCTCCTCCTTCTCATCTGGTGGGCAAAGGCAGGGGTTACACACACGGAGGGGATGGGGACCCCGTCCACCCCACGGCAGAGCCCCACGAGCCGCTGCGAGGGCACGGACCCATCGCTGCTTCACACAGGCAGGGAAAACCTGTGGGAAAGCGCTGCCTGCCTGTTGCTCCCGTGGCTCTCGCACAACAGGCTGCTCAATTATTCATGCTCGCCCTCCTCTTCACTTCGCTGCCAGGGCTGAGCTGACAGGGAGCCAGGGAAGGCGCCTGTTTTAACCCCTCTGGTCCCCAGTGTGGCAAACGCCAGCACAAAGGGGTGCTGGGCACGGGCACTGCTGAGCCCTGCAGACCCCTTTGCCCACACTGGGCCTGGTAACAGAACCATGGAATGGTTTGGGTTGGAAGGGACCTTAAAGCTCCTCCAGCTTCAACCCCTGCCACGGGCAGGGACCCCTTCCACTGGAGCAGCTTGCTCCAAGCCCCTGTGTCCAACCTGGCCTTGAGCACTGCCAGGGATGGGGCAGCCACAGCTTCTCTGGGCACCCTGTGCCAGCGCCTCAGCACCCTCACAGGGAAGAGCTTCTGCCTAAGAGCTCATCTCAGCCTCCCCTCGGGCAGGTTAAAGCCATTCCCCTTGGCCTGTCCCTACATCCCTTGCCCAAAGCCCTTCTCCAGGTTTCCTGCAGCCCCTTTAGGCACTGGGAGACTGCAACAGCCCAGGTTTGCCCTGAAGCGCCCGGCTCTTCATTGCTGTACCTTTGTAGTAGAAGAGGCAGCGATCCACCAGCACGAACCAGCGCTTGTTCCACTGCTTCACCCCCGAGCTGGCCTGCGAGAGAGGGGCAGTGAGTGTGGGTGCCCAGGAAAGGGGCGGCACGGCTTTGGGGGGGGGGGGGCACCCAGCAGGGTCAGGGCTCAGGTACCTGCTTGTAGAGCCACCCGCTTTTGGTGACAGCGGCATTGGGGTTCCTCTTCATGGAATTGGAGCGCTTCCCGAAGGCGATGCCCTTGCGGGAGGAGCGCGATGCCTGCAGAGGGGCAGAGGAGCTGCTCAGTGCCGGGGGGGGGGCCCTGCTCCCTGGCTCCGTTGCTCCCTGACGTGCTCCACGGCCCCGGGCACCCACCCGGCCTCCGGGGCGCTCCGGGGGCCCCTCGGCCACCATGGTGTGGTTTTGGGGCTCGCTGGTGACGGGCGCCGCTCGCTTGCTCCCCGCTTTGCTGGACATGTCCGAGGTGGGGCTGTGGCACAGGAGAGCTGAGTCAGCAGAGCCCACCTTCACCCCACCCTGGTTCCCCATCACTGCCCACTCGCAGGCTCTAAACCCAGAGGAGCTGGAGCCAAACCTACTTGTGCGGGTCAAGTCTTGAGGTGTCCTCGGGGACCTGTCCCGTCACTGGGTGCAGGAACGTGTTCCGCCTTTCATTGTGGCTGCGGAGACAGCGGGGGGAGCCGTGGTTATTGTTCCTGTGTGCCCCACTTTGCCTTTAGCACCACATCGGCTGCGCTGAGAGCGATGCTTCACACCAGCACCAGGGCTGGCTCCCTGCTCTGAGCATCATCCTCCCATGCCCCCACTAACCCCCCACTTCAGATCTGCTCAGTGCACCCCATCAGCGAAGCCAAAACAAGGGCTCTGGTGGCAAAGACCTTGGTACTTCTGCTGGACACCATACACATCACCATAAACCCCACTCAGAAGCGGCAGCAATGGTCCATTGCTGTACCTGCAGCGACATCCCCATCATCACGTCCTCCCCTTTGGCTCTCTGCTTTTAGAGCTATTTGCCACCCCCCCCCCAAACGTGCGTCACAGACCCCACACATCAGCCCAGGACCCACCACCACAAGCTGGATCAGCCCCAGCTCTGCCCCTGTGCTGCTTTGGTGACTTGGGGTGCACCCAAAGGCGGCTGTATCCGGTGGTGCTGGGCTCCCCAGTGGTTCCAGGCTCACAGGGAGGAGCAAGACACGGCTCCGGGCTCGGCTGGCAGCGTTTGCCATGTCCCTGCCCCATCTCGCAGAGCCGGTATTGCCAGGCACCCCGGCACCAGGATGAGAAACCCTCCTGGGGCCTCGCTGCTGGAGCTGTGTCAGGAGCAAAGGGTTCAGGGCTCCATCCAGGGATGTTTGCGTTGCACCCCGTGACATTCCAAAGGATGCCAGGACGTGGATGCCCCTGACCACCCGTGAAGCCAGCGTGCCATCGGCCCGGCACGCTGCTCATCCGCTCCCTGTCAGCACCACAGGGGAAGTTGGAGCAAGGAAATGCAGCTGCCAAGACCATCCCATCCACACACGCTTCACCCGACCTGGGCTCCAGCCAGGCTCTGGAGACGTTAACCACTTTGTACCCAAAAGAGCCCTGCTGGGCGCTGCTCCCCCTCGCAGGTCGCATCCTGCACCCTGACATGGAGCTGCTCTCCTCCCCGTCACTTGGGGTCACTGTAAGAACCTGAGCAATGTGTGTGCACCTGAAAAGAGGGGCAGCGCTCGCACCCCAAAATCACCCCCCCCCCCCCCCCCAGCACCAGTGAGTGCCACAATGGACACGAGTTATCCATGGGAACAGCCTGCCCAATCCATGCCTCCACAGCAGAAAGGGGGGTTCTGCCACCCAGGGATGGAGCCGTTTACCCCCAGCAAGTGACTTTGGAGGGATGCACCACAGTGGTACGGGGCAGGATCCAGCACCCCCCCAGTGCTTACACACAGGGATCATGCAAATGCCAAGCGAGCAGCACCTCGACCACACCAGCCCTGGAAAGTGGGGGCTGCCAGGAGCCTCCAGAGTGCCTGACCCCCAGCCAGGGACATCCCCTCTATCACCCTGCACCGCAGCAGGTTTCCAATCCCACTCTTTCCCTGGACAGCCCCCCTGCTCCATACCCCCCGCTGCTTCTCCTGCCACCCACCCCAAGCCTCCCTCTAGCCCCACATATGGCAAGACCCCAGGAACGAGCCGGGAAGCATCCTTAACACATCTCCCCGGGCTGACCCCGCTCCAGAAACTCCCGAGATCCCATCACCTCCCAAGCACTGCAATGCAGCAGCCACTGCCCGGGGCTGAGGGTCCCCCACCACCGCCTGCCCACAGCACCCCCATGCTCCTACCTCACCCTCCGGTCTGCCCGAAACTTCAGCATGATGCCAAGGGCCCTCCCCGCTCAGCGCCGGCTCCCGGCTCCCGGCATGACCGCGGTGGGCACGCTGTGCCACCAGCACGCTCCGAGGGGATGGCTCATGCCACGGGGACAGCGGCCCCGCACGGGGATGCTGTCAGCGAGCCAAGGGTCTCACTGTCCTCTCCCGGTTGTCCCGGTGCCCCCCCTCGAGCCCTGCGCCGGTGCCATTGGTGCTGGGAGCTCCGGTGCGGCCGGGGCTGGCGAGCCCCCAGTGTGCGGCAGCGATGGGGACAAGCAGCTCCCGCTCGCGTCCCCGCGCAGAGGAGAAGCGAAGGGCAGCGCGGCGCTCGCCGCCTCCCCCAGCTCAGGTGAGGAGCCAGGGAGCAGCAGCCAGCGATGGAGGGAGGGATGGATGGGGCAGGACAGGACTGGGTGGCTGCCGCCCCCCCCACACACACACCCCGTAGGGCAGCAGTGCACGGAGGGGGGATGTCAGGGCGCTGAGGCAGCCGCGCTGAGATGAGCTCTGTCGCTGCCCTGGATTCACCGCCTGCATCCCTTCCCCCTGCTGCTGTCCCCGAACCATCCTCATCCCCCCCTCCCCTTCCGCGTTGCTGCCTCTTCCACAGGTCACGCCAAGAGAAAATCCCGGGAAGCGGGATGGGAGCAAGCACCGAACAAGCAGGGGGGTGGCACCACACGGGGTATTCACCAACAACCCCTTCAGCACCCCCAAAAGTCCGGGGAGCCCTTCACACCCTGGCAGGATGAGAGTGGGGAGGAGCAGGACGGGGGCGACCCAACCTCCGAATGGGCACGGCACTTGGGAAAGCGAATGCAAATACATCAGGGCTGTTAGGATAATGCCGAGGGAAGGAGGGAAGGATGGAAGGAGGGAGGGAGGGGGAGAGGCAGCGCTGACAATTCAAAGAAACCTCCAAAGAAGGAAGCGGAGCACGCAGAGCCAGCTGGGCTCCATCACAGCACATCCCTGCTCCACCAGCACCCCCGGACCACCTTGGGACACGGCTCACCCGCGGTGCTGCCCGGCCTCTCCCAGCCACTGCATCATGGAAACCAGCCCTGTCTGTCAGCTGGGCCAGCACCAGTGTCCAGCTCAGGGATGCTCCCACTGCTCCTCGGCTGGCAAAAGTGGTCCCTGACAGGAGGGCGGTGAAAAGCAGCCAGGGATGGGAATCACAACCCCAGTGTGAGCAGAGGATCAGAGAGTCACACACTGGTTTGTGTTGAAGGGACCTCAAAGCTCCTCCAGCTCCAGCCCCTGCCACAGGCAGGGACCCCTTCCATAGAGCAGCTTGCTCCAAGCCCCTGTGTCCAACCTGGCCTTGAGCACTGCCAGGGATGGGGCAGCCACAGCTTCTCTGGGCACCCTGTGCCAGCGCCTCAGCACCCTCACAGGGAAGAGCTTCTGCCTAAGAGCTCATCTCAGTCTCCCCTCTGGCAGGTTAAAGCCATTCCCCTTGGCCTGTCCCTACATCCCTTGTCCCAAGCCCCTCTCCAGGTTTCCTGCAGCCCCTTTTGGCACGGGAGCTGCTCTAAGGTCTCTCCTATGGAGCCAGGCTGAGGGAGCTGGACTTGTTCAGCCTGGAGAAAAGAAGGCTCCAGGGACACCTTAGAGCAGCTCCAGTGCCTAAAGGGGGATGTGCCAACCAACAGCATCACTGCTCCCAAACCAGGTGAATCCATCCCTTTAGGGCACCCTGGGCCAGAGCTGCTCTCCATGCATGCAGGAGCCGAGCGGTGCCATTCCTGCTCTTGTTGCAGGTACACTGTTGGCCACCAGCCACGCATAGACCCACCACAACACTGGGCAGCACTAGCCTCAGTTTCCCCCTGTCAAACCCACCAGCACTGGTTTGTCCCCATGTCCCAGCAGCAGCAATTCACCCGCTCCTCACTCAGCCACTGCCACCCTCTGCAGGGAAGCAGATGGGGATCAAGGTCCCCCAACGGCCGGAGGCACGTGGCAGCCTTCTGCTCTGTGACAAAGCTGATGCTCACCCAGCACAGAGGAAGAGGAGCTGCCAACCGAAGGGCTGTGGCCCCTTTTGGGGATGGCAGCCTTGGGAATGGTGTGGCAGGAGCAGGAAAAGCTGCTCCTGGGTGTTCTGGAGCCGCAGCATCCTCCGCATCACCCCTAATGGCGCAGTCACTCCAATGGCACAGGGGGGTGCACCAGGAGCCTTTATCCCAGCTCAGATAAAGCCTGGAGCAGGCTCCTTTCTCCATGCACCAGCTGGGCTATTTCACACTCATTAGTATGAGAGGGAGGGCAGGGACATGGATCCTCCACGGCCCATGGAGCAGACACGCTGCAGGGCTCTGAGCAGCAGCTCAGGGATGAAGGGGCTCATCTGGACCTCCTGGGAGGGCTGTGGAGGAGAAAGCAGTGCTTTCCCACAGGGAAAACATCAAAGACAAACCCTCCAAACCTCCTCTTGCTTTTTCATCAAGGTAAAGAGCAAGCAAAGGGAATAAATGCACCCACATCACCCTGCAGTGTGAGCAGAAGCTGCACTGGGTGCAGGAGGTTGAGCTGCTTTGTATCTGCTCTCCCTGCAGCTGAGGGTGTGAGAGCATTAACACCACCCAGCTGGGAAGAAGGTGAAATGGGGACAAGCAGGGAGCTATTTGCCAGCACTGGGAAAGCTTGGTGCACCCTGGATGCCGTGGAGCAAAGCACTGGTGGGTGATGCCAGTGGTGCTGCTCCTGGGCAGGATGCTGGCTGCATCCCGACCCATCCTCATGGGGAAAGTGGGATGCTGGAAAAAGCCCACTGAGCTCGGGGGGTTCCTCTCCAGGAGCTGACAGCCAAGATCCCATCTTGTAAGATGGATGCAGCCAAGCAGCCCTCAAAGCCCCCCGGCCAGCGTGTAACAGACATCAGCTAATGGGAACCATCCCTGCGCCGCGGCCATCCCCGGGGCGTCGGGGCTGTTATCTGGTGACTGCGAGCAGGAGGAGGGGAGGTGCAGCTCAGGGCCTGCCAAGCCCTAAATCCAGAGCAGAGCAAGGGGATACAGGGAAGCCAACCCCGGGATGTTGGGCTCTGCCAGCCCAGGACCATGGCAGGAGCAAATGATGCCTGTAAACACCCCCCCCCCCCCCAAACAACAGTGAAACCCCTCATCTGGAGGTGTTACCCCTGTTCTCAGGGCCAGCATGCAGGCAGCTCCCAAGCAAGGGGCTCATGGCCATCAGCCAAACACGCCCTGTACTTGGCCTCCTTCCTCTGTTTTTCTATCCCTTTCTTCACCTCTCCCTCTCCTCCCGAGCCACATCCC